AGGTTCGATTCCGGTCAAGGGCATGTACCTTGGTTGCGGGCACATCCCCAGTGGGGAGTATGCAGGAGGCATCTGATGGGTGTTTCTCTCTCATCGATGTTTCTAACTCTCTATCCCTCGCCCTTCCTCTCTGTAAAAAATCAATAAAATATATTTTAAAAAAAAGTTCTTTAAATGAGTGCCTGCAGGTGATAAGACACTGATCATATCTTCTGTTTTGTAATGTCATGATTTTTTCCTCAATATTGTGTGACAGTTTATCCTATCTAATAATAGACAAAGATGCAAGTTGACCATACCTTTGCTACGCCCACCATTGATAACCAGAGCAATATGCAAATTAACCGCCAACAAAGATGGCGGTTAATTTGCATACATAGGCGAGAAGTGGCGGAGGGAAGACTGAAGGCTGCTCCGGCTGGAGCAGTGAAGGCTTGAAGGTTAACTTCTATCCCTAAACCCACTTATTGAAACTGCACAATGTCCACATGAAATGCCCTCAGAGACAAGTGAGAGTTTAACTTAAAGGAAATGACATCAGACACAGGGGATTTCTGATGAGCAACGGGAGGTGGCCAGAGCGAAGGCCTGGGTCCTGGAGGAAAACCGGTGCCGGCAGCTAGGGGAGGGAAGGCCTATTGCACGAATCTTTTCCTGCAACAGGCCTCTAGTGTGGGAGTAAAATTTTATGTTGATGGTGATGTTTCCTCACCACTTCCAAGGAATTGCTCCAGAGTCTCCTTCCACCTCCTGTTGCTCATCAGAAATCCCCTGTGTCTGATGTCATTTCCTTTAAGTTAAACTCTCACTTGTCTCTGAGGGCGTTTCATGTGGACATTGTGCAGTTTCAATAAATGGGTTTAGGGGTAGAAGTTATTTGTGTTTATTCTGCTGAATTTTCACAGGGCACTTTCCACTGAGGTTCAAAATTTCTCTTTGATTGAAAAAAATTCTTGATACTTCTGTACCAATACCACGTTTTAGTTTTTCCAGACAGTGCTTTAAAGTCCCTAACAAGGGGTTCTGAGTCTCTAACAAGCCTCTGAAGTTGGAGGCTCTTAAACCATCTACCAAGATGCTCTTTCATGTTTTATGGGTTTTTTAAGATTCCTGATTCTGATATCCTGATGGTGAAAACCAAACAAACCGACATTCAAGTTCACTCTGAGAATGGCCCTCCACCCTCTCAAATCCCTTCCCAGCTCACGCATCTGTCCCCAACACCTCTGTCCCCACCTCCTCCGTCCCCACCTCCTCTGTCCCCACCACCTTTGTCCCCACTTCCTCCGTCCACACCACCTCAGTCCCCACGTCCTCTGTTGCCACCTCTGTCCCCACAACCTCTGTCCCCACCACCTCCATCCCCACCTCGTCCGTCCCCACCACCTCAGACCCCACCTCCTCCATCCCCACCTCCTCTGTCCCCACCACCTCTGTCCCCCCCTC